GAACCAACAGCCAAGTGATTTAAAATACCAAGTAGTTGTCTATGGGCAACCTTGAACTGTTTGCACAATTTAAAGGAAGCAAGTTATTTCACTGACAAGCATACAAATGGTTACCAGTGAGCGCACACAGCGTCTAGGGATGACATGCAGCACAAGGCTGTAAATGAGAGTGGGAGTCTACTGCCTAATGATTGCAAGCAACTAGCATCAAGTCTGGGTAGGCATGAAGCTGCTGTCCAAAAGCAGCTCTGGGCAGCAACCGGGAAAGATGGGTCAGGACTTACTATTCAGGATAAACTAAACCGAGCTTCTCATCAGATGGGGCAGAAGGATCTACTGCCCTTCTGGCCCGCCAGAGCACAGCGTGAGTTGTACCTTGGGATACCAACATTCCCAACCACACAGAGATATTCTATGATGCTGCCACCTTGGAGGTGGGGATGTGCTGGCAGGAAAGGGGGCGGCCCTTTTCATTTGCAATCTATGAAGGAAGCAGATAGCAATGGCTGGTATTTCTTAAAAGAGATTTTCTTTTGTGGCAGAGAACCTAAAAGGATTACTTGTCAAGAACCTGCTCTATCATTTACAACTGAAGACAATCTGTTTAGAGAAAGCCACTTTATTGAAGAAAAAAAAAAAAAAAAGACTTCGAAACATCTGAAATACCTTGACCTATGATGTAATGTCCTCCAAGGAGACTGAGCTAGCAATTCTTCACTGGCAATGAAGTCACCCGTCACCTTCCTGAGTGTACAGGTAAGTAATAGCTCCAGATTGATTGACTGCAATGAATAATCCCCACAAGTCATAAACATCAGCAGAAACCCAAGAAATCCAATTCGGCTGTATTGTTTTCTACCTGTCAGAGGCTACAGCTGTGTTTACACATTGCCTCCATCTGAATCTTGGCTGCTGTAGGTTTTCCTCTGCAAATTTGCTTTCCCGTGGCTAGGGTCATGGCATTTCTGTACAGCAGACTTACCGGGGTCCTATGTGATCCACATACATTTGTCCGTGTTTCAGGACACAAGATAAGGCAAGTGTAAGTTTTGGAATGAAGAATCACTACCCTGGTTTAAAACCAGGCAGCCCAGGTACTGCCTCCTTTTTTAAAGCCCTAGGTAAAGTTTTAATGACCCCACAGCAATTTTGGTTTCATTAAAAGGAATCTTAATCAGTATTTACACAGAGCCTACTATATTCAATACTGTACAGCTTGTGTGCAGAGGTCATGGATTAAAAAAAGAAGAAACAAAAACACCACACAATGAAAACCACATTTACAAATGCTAAGGAAACAGAAAAATGCCATAAAGAGAAAATGGTAAGATTAATTCTGTGAAATTCCTGGAGGAAGACTCATTAATCTTTATAAGGAAGATGGACCAGAAACAAAGCACAGTTGCTTAACAGACATTCAATGATATATAGAAAGAAATGAGATTTCTAAGAGGAAGGCATTTTTATAAATACATAGTATTTTATTTCCCATTTTAAGAACTATGTTAAGATCACTAAAAAGTTCAAAGAGTTATAAAACTCAATTTCTATCATCAATAATTTTATACTCTATCTTGGAGTGAGGGAAAGACAGTGTTATGGACTGAATGTTTATGTCCCTTCAAAATTTTTATGTTGAAACCCTACGCACACCCCCCCCACGTGTCCTATTAGGAAGTGGGGCCTTTGGAAAGTAATTAGGATTCAGTGATGTCATGAGAGTAGAATCCTCATGAATGGAATTAGGTGTCCTTATAAGAGTCACAAAGCCAGCACTCCGCAAATCAGAAGCAGGCTCTCACCAGAACCTGGCATGAGGACACCCTAATCTTGGAAATTTAACCTCCAGAAGTTTTGAAGTTCACATGGTGAGTGGGTTCTAAAGTGTTAGGTCTAAGGACCTCTGTTCTCTAATGGACCTGTGGGAAATAAATTTGTCATTTATACGCCACTCAAAGTACTTTTGTTCTCACAGCCTGAATGGACTAAAATACACAAATAGGCAGACAGGCAGATAGAGACTTTGAATATACAGATACACATACACCGCTTAAATATCAACTAACACTAAAAGGTAAATATTACCTAATACTAGAAGGCAATATTTTCCCCATGTCCAGCATCAGGTATAGACAGAAAGATACTGAGAATCTTCCTATAGACTACAGCACTAGAGAAAGCTTCCTGAAAGTCGAAACTAAATTAGACCCTAAAGATAGGTCAGATCGCCTTGAGCAAAGAAAGGGGGAAATAGTTCAAGCAGAGTGAATCAAAGTATGGGGGAGCCACTAAGGGGGACTTCAAGACAGCAAACACACCATCCCAGAAGAGTTTAAAAAAAAAAAAAAAAAAAAGCAAGAAGAGATATCACTCATCCTAATTATAATACTCCTCAGGGAAGCTGTTTCCAATCCACACATGCCTGGATGTGTGGGGGGGGGGGGGATGAGAGGGGCATTCTGTTGGAAATGCACACCTGGAGCCCGCCCCTCGAGCCTCAGGGTCACTCTGGGGTGGGGCCCAGCAGTGGGGGCTTCACAAGCCCTCCAGGGGATCTTGCTGAGTGCTCAAGCTTGAGACACATTTCCTCACTTCATGATAAATCTGAACTGAAATATGCTTACAAGTAAACCCTTCAAAAGATACAAAAGAAACACTCCCTATAATTAAGAGAAATATCCATTCATTTTATCCATTGCACAGGGGAAAAAAAACCCAAATTCTTGAAGTAGGAGAAAGTCTACCTTATAATACAAATCTCCTTTCCAGACTTGCTTCAACTACTTATTTTCTCTTCTCCCTTTTCGGCCTCTCTGTGTTGGAGTGCTTTCCATGACATTTTAAAATTTGTATGAATAGGAAGCTGGGGAATTCACTCCTCGTTTGATTTATGACCAAAAATATCAAGCCCTTCATGTTTCAGGCATGAACGTGCTATGAATTGAGCATTGGCTATATCATGGCTCATAATGTCACTTTCCTACAGAACCACTCTGGAAGAAGTAGGACTAACTAAGCTGCTCTCCACTATGATACACGCTTACTGAAAGAAATAATTAGAAATCTGGTTTTTGCTTTAACGCACACACATGTGCCCACATGCACCCATGCAAATTCTACCCCCCAAGGGCCCAGGATTAGATTCTTGGTTCCTATGTAACCATTGTCACTGGTGCTTGGAGTACTGAAGTGAAAAGAGAATTTTTAATCTAGAAAAAGAATAATAAAAATGACAAGCATGTTTGAGTAATAGGCAATTTAAGTCTATAATACACAGTCTCTGGCATATGAATATACATATATTACAATCTTGGGGAAAAAGATCTCATCTGGAGAATGTTTCCATACTTTGAGTTTCACTTGCAGTTTCAGTTAGATTTTCAGTCTTTAGGTCACCCCCAAATTTTAGCATACCAAAATTCTCCCAGCCTCTTTTAATACTTAATTAAGTTCATAATGATTTCATGTGAATCCAGCAGTAACTATAAAAAGCCAAGTAATGTGAGGGACACTTTCCAATTCCATTTAAAGTCCCAAGAATGCCCAGCTAGGGTTGGATGACATCATTATCTGTGATTTATTTTAGGCAACTTTGATTTAAAAAAAAATTTTTCTCTTTTAACTTTGAAGACAAGATGCCCAAATACTCTCAGGCTGAATTATAAATGTCTTTTTGGATGTAATGTGATTGACTAATCAAGTAATGGCATGTAATTAATAGTAGGGGTTTTTTTTGTTTTTTTTTTTTTTGGTTCTCCAACCATTTATTTGAAATTTGATGTTCTTTCGATGTCCCAAACCACCACCAGTCTGCATTTATTCCACAGCTTGGTCAGCGCAGAAAGACAAACCATGTAGTCAGACCAGGTCCATGATATTGTTTGTATTAGTATTATTTGTTCTGACATACCTGAGCTGATCTGCACATGCCTGTCACTAAACCCAACTGAGAAGATAAAATCAGATATTTCATCCATCAATTGTCAAGTATGCAAGGTGTTATGGAGAAGGCAGAGAACACTAGCATAAAGCTCTTGAAAATTCAAACAACTAAAATATCATTCTACAGATAGTTTCAATAGTCTATGGATCACAATGCACGCATTCTCCTATGTCTAAAAGTTTGCCTTACTACTGAGAAAACATCCTGAGTATCTGAGTAGGACAGTAACAAATTTCCTTCATGCAATCCAAAACTGCCACAAATTAAACTCAAAATAGATATGAAAGAGCACCATCCACCTTTCCACACTGGGAACAGAGACGCTTTCAAGGAAGGCCTCCTTATGGGCCATCCTCCCTTAAGCAGTCCCACTGATTCGAGAACAGAAGTACTTAGACCTAACACTTTAGAACCCACTTGCCATGTGAACTTCAAAATGAAGGTCATGGCCCTCTTTTCCTCAGCACCAAACAGAAGCACCGCTACTTACACAGGGGATGCCCAGTCCCCAAAGCTGCCCCCATCAGCATGAAGGTGGTTTTTGTCTGGTCCAGGAGGCCTGTGGACAGCTGCAGTCGTGGGAGATGGAGAGGACAGTGAATCTAGATTCCCGGTAGGGGTGTCCTCCTTAGGAAGGTTAGCACTGTCACCTAGGGAGGAAAAAAAAGCATGAACTTCCAAACACATACTCAAAAGGGAAGAAACAGGGGCGTCTGGGTGGCTCAGTCGTTAAGCGTCTGCCTTCAGCTCAGGTCATGATCCCAGGGTCCTGGGATCGAGCCCCATGTTGGGCTCCCTGCTCAGCGGGGAGCCTGCTTCTCCCTCTCCCACTCCCCCTGCTTGTGTTCCCCCTCTCTCTGTGTCTCTCTCTCTCAAATAAATAAATAAAATCTTTAAAGAAAAAAAAAAAAGGAAAAAAACAACTCCACTAATAATTATGTGGCATCATTTGATTACTCAAATCAAATGAAAACCAAAATTATACTTATAATTCACCCTGAGATTATTTGGGTGTCTTCTCTTTAAAGCTTTTGTTTTTGTTTTGAACCAAAGACACTTAAACTGAAGCATAGATAATACACAGTGAGGGGTATTTTCCCCACAGGAAAACACAATAATCAAAATCAGATCCAATGGAAGATGAGAGCCTTAATGGCAGCCACAATGACTTCCTAATCTCTAAGGTGCACAGTTATAAGTCAGTGATAACCCCAAGAATAATTCAGAGCAGTACACCAGCCCCAACGTGACCAACCTCTCCCTTTCTAGTCACCTAATGTTTCTTTAAGACATTGCCAGTCACCACTTCGTGTGTAATAAAGTCAACAACTCTAAAGGGATCTTGTCTTCTGAGCTGGGGTCTTGGATTACAACTTAATAGTCCAATTTATTAAAATCTCAGACATAGAGAAACTTCCATTTCCCTGTGAACATTAGGGAGGATATTATAGAAGAATCAGGCGCCTGCAGTGACTGCGGGGAGGACTTTAAACCAAAACTAAAAAGCATTTTGTAAATGGGTTACATGATTTATCATTCACAGAGGACCATTTTATGGAATACGTTTAGTATCATTTGTACATATTACGAACTGGGGTGAAAAAATGGAGAAGATGGAAAAGAGAGCTCACAAGAGCAGCTGTTTTCCTCAACTGGTCTCCTTATTTTCCTGGTACTCCCACCTACCATAATGTACCAGAACAGCACCCATCAGAGCTGTGACCCTCCGGCCACATTCACAGTCCCCATCAAAATATCAACTGCTCCAGGATGCTTTGCAGAGGTAGCAATATTCTATCAAGAGGCACTGGTTTGACCTTGATTTTACAGATGATGGGTCACAATAGTAGATCAAGAAACTGCCACGAAGTAGAAGATACACAACCTGGAGGACCATACCCCAGCCACAAACAGCTTCTGGCTGATTAAACCTTCATTTTTCCTTAGTCCATTAGTCCCAGGTCTAGAAAGAGAGTATGCATGAATGCCAGGAATAGCAAGGAACTTGCCCTCAGAACACCATCTCAAATGGATTTCCAATTCTACTAACAATGAAGCACAAGAGAAATTCTGGGCTCTGATTAAGCTAGATCCCAAGATGCTAACCTTGAAAATTGATTGTATGAGATAATTCTTATTTAACTCTGACCCAGCTTACAACTCAGGCTAAGAGAGAGAATCTTAGAAATGGAGATCTAGAAAGGTTGAATTCAAGGAAGTAGGAGTTACAGATGGTGGTGATGGCTGGAAAAAGGAATTCTTTATGGGGGTAGTTAAGAGGAACTACCAGGATGATCGTGGGCAGAAGATTCTGGTAAACGAGAGTTTTCTGAGCTTTTTCTTTCCTTAAGTGTGTTGTCATCGGGGAAGGTGAGAGAGAAACTGCAACAAGAGATGAATGCAACCTCTGTGGGCAGGTCTTCTCCCTGGTCTCAGTGTCCCTGTAAAGGCTTGCTCGGTGCCCATTTGCAAATGTGCAGTCTAGAATACTGTATGATTCCTCTTTTGGTGAAGTCACTTTTTCCATAGCCCTTCACCACAAAATGTTTAGCTAATTGGAGTAACTCAGCCCCAAATACATGGGTCAGACTTCAGGCAAATAAACCAACACCCACTGATAGGCCACTATGATTTCCTTTTGATTTATTTTCATTCTGGGCTACAGTCCACTTTGAAACTAAGGCTACTTCTCCTCCTGTGTCTGGATAGTTCAAATCCATCCAGTTCTGTTCTGTGAATATGCCCAAGAATGAGGGGCTGGAGCTCTAGCTTCCCCAGGAACTCCTGAACAGGTACCTACACAATAGCTGCCAAATCGGGGCTTGGCTAGAAGTAGCAAAATACGCTCAGCTCTGAGGCAGAGCAGGATCACCTCAACAGTGAGTCAGACGGAGGCAGCTTCCCAGCCGCGAGGCTGGATCCTGGCCCTCTGCTTTCTGGGCCTCATGCCCTGTCTCTAGGGCAGGGCATGACATAGCAAAAGCAGCAAATGAGAGTCTGGGACCAGTTATTCCCTGACTCATTCCTACAAGGAGAAGCCTTTCAATGAGAAGCAACTTTGGGGAAGTGGAAAGCAAGGGTCTAATGTTACTTCCAAAAGATGCCTGAAATGTTTTTGCAACCAGACACACTAGCTCATCCACAATGCCTCAGATCCTTTTCCCCAGCAGACCGACACAGCACAAACGGCCATTCAACATCTTAAATGCATTCTATTACGAGAATTTCTCTCTCCTGTCCTGCCCAACAGTAGCGATCTGAACCCTCGAGTGAAAAGAATGTTGGTAGAAGGGAATATGTTTACACAAACTGATCAAATGAAGAGATACCTCCACAAACTGATCAAATGAAGAGATACCTCACCCTACTTTCTGTGCGCACAGATTTCCTTTCTCCTTCACTGTTCCAGAATGAGCTTATCTACTTGAGCATCACTGAATTCGAGAAAGCGGGCAGAGAACATCTCAGGCACATAAACATTAAGTACTTATAACCATTTCTGAAACTTTAGTTCCCCCAAATCAAACCAGGACTTTTTAACTAGTGTGAAAATAATAAAACTTTTTCCAAAAAAAAAAAAACCTCTATGTTCAAATGATTTCTGGGCTAAAGATTTTAAAGCCTATAAACTGATTTGTACTTGAGAATTAAAGTCGGATACTCTCATCGTTTCTCACCTTCCATTTCTTCTGAGTGTCACACAACCTCTTCCGTAGGTGCTACCCTTTAACAGGCACCCACAGACAGACAAATCACCTGTGAGTAACAAGGCTGTTCCGGTAAGTGAGCAGAAATAGTGCTGAAGGACTTTCATTATGAAGAGACTCCCAGAGAAGAAACTCACTAGAAACAGAACTACCACCACCTAGAAGAGAAAATGAGTTCTTCACAGCGTCCAGCTTCATTCCCACCTTCTCCACAAAGCACTTGCCAGCTACCTGTTCCGCCTCTTCTCTCCTTTCTCACAACGAGATGCAGCAAGCAAGTTTGCATTCGCTATCCTCTAATGTTTTCATGACCTGGTTTTAATTCCTCATTTCCATTATGCATTTTTTGAGGGTGGAGACCAAGCCTCAGTCTCGGTAAGCCTTAGAGGACATAATGCAGGGCCAGGCAAACCAGGAATCTTCAGGAAATACTGTGGACTCATTGCCACATGAAATATTATGAATATGGAAAGCCAGTGCCTCTAGGAACGAAGGAGGAGAAAAAAAAAATCTATAAGCCTCAAAGTATGGTTACAAAATCTGCACACGGCTTCCGATTATCATCTTCTCCCCTTTGAAGCCAGAAATATCTTTCACCTTCTTTATTCAGTCAACAAGTGTTTCCTAGGGCCCCTGGGTGGCTCAGTCGTTAAGCGTCTGCCTTCGGCTCAGGTCATGGTCCCAGGGTCCTGGGATCGAGCCCCGCATTGGGCTCCCTGCTCCGCGGGAAGCCTGCTTCTCCCTCTCCCACTCCCCCTGCTTGTGTTCCTGCTCTCGCTGTCTCTCTCTGTCAAATAAATAAATAAAATCTTTAAAAAACAAAAACAAACAAAAAAAAAAACAAGTGTTTCCTAAGCCTCTACTTACGTACAAGGCACATCACGGCTGCTGAGTTATAAAGGTGAAGAATCAGTCCCTAACCCAAAGGTGCTCACAGTACAGTGCTGAGGACAGTAAAGACAAACACAGCAGAAGGTGGTGTCAGCCATACTATGATTTTATCAAGCAGCTTTGAGATCCAGAGAAAGAAATTTCCAAACCTGCCAGTGGTGGAGGGAGAAAGACATGGGAGTCAGGCAACAGGAAAAGGAAGAAATTACTGCCAAACTTGCAAGGGAAGAACCCCTGACAGAGCAAATATCATGGTTGAAAGCATAGAAACAAGAGAGAATGTGGCAGTTTCCAGAGCCCTGGATGGTTGGATTTGGCTGGAGAATAAGGGCAAAGGTAGAGAGTAAGAATACGAAGTGGGGCGATATATGAAACATTAAGGCACCTGATTTTGTTCCATAGGCACTGGGAAGTTATTGCAGGGGTGAAGTACTAAAGTGACAAGATCCAGAGAATGGATTCAAGAGATATTCAGTAGCACAGTCACTAGAACTCTGTGAATAAAGGTGAAGGGTGGAAGAGGAACCTAACATGACCCTCAAGTTCTTGGCTTAGGCAACAAGGCGAATGGTAGAATTATTAACTGAAATAGGGAGTAAAAAGCAAGAACAAATTGGGTGTGAGAGATAATAAGACCAGTTGTAGACATCTTGGGCTACAGGTGTCAATAAAAAATCCAGGTGAAAATACCCAGAGGAGAGCTGGTTATACAACCCCTGAGCTCAGGAAAGAGGTTGGGGACAGCTGTTTTGAGTTGAGTGTCACATAGGTAGAACTGAAGTCACGGCACTGGATGGAGGACACAGAGGAAGCGATATAGAAATGTAAGAGAACCTTGGAGAAGCCTCAGATGCAAGGAGCAGGCTTCTCCTTAAAGCAAGATTATTGGCAGTGGTGGCGCTGGCGGTGACTGTTGCTGTCGTCATGACGATAAATATGAAGTGTGATTTTGCAAATATTTAGGATTCCCTCACAGGCATATGTTTTCATAAAAAAGTGGGCAAAAAAGCATGCAAGAGGACATGCCTTTCATGATGGCTACTACATTTCACTATTTAGTCTGATTTTTTTTTTTTTTTTATGACCCTGAGGACATGAAGTGTTTTACTTTCATGATAGACTGAAACTTCAAAGACTGGCAGAAAACTAGAGCAAGAAGAGGAAACAAGAACTTGATAGCTGTACCATATCTAACAATGCAGAGAACGTTCATCTCGTTTATTTGTTTTCTTTTTTTTTTATGTTATGTTAATCACCATACATTACATCATTAGTTTTTGATGTAGTGTTCCATGATTCATCGTTTGCGTATAACACCCAGTGCTCCATGCAGTACGTGCCCTCTTTAATACCCATCACCAGGCTAATAGACGGATAGACTTTTACGCTAGTAGTTGAACTTTCTTGTTCTGATGATGACAAATGATTCTCCCTACTCATCTCTGGTCATTTCATGTAAGTGGAAGTGCTTCTGCATTGTTGGAGGGAACAAGGCTTTGAGTTTCCCCTTCCATTTCATTCAATTCCTTCTTGTCTTCCTCTCAAATATACTTCCTAACTGTTAAGAAGTCAGGGATAGTTCCCTTTGAATCTCTTCCCTGCTGTTTTCCACGTTAGCCTAAAATGTGTGCATCCATTAAAGAACCACAGAAGTTTCAGGTTATTCCTCAGAAATGAATTGTCTCCACAGCAACAAGAATATTCCATGTTTTTCTCTCTTAAACATCCTGCTTTATGTATTAGAAGTAAGGAAGAAAAGGAAAGTGGGACAGAAAAAAAGGAAAGAAAAAAGCATAGAAAGAGAAGATCCAGTGTACTATCTGAACTTCATTTTCTAGTGAGCCTCACAGTTGTGCATCTGGGCTCATTGGAAGGCAACCGCAGACCACACCTACATCTCCACTGACACACACATACACCCCATGTCAGGTTGGGAAAATCATAGGTACTTCTAAATATCAAACAGTTCATCACTAGGATCAAAGAAGCACTTACTGAGAACAAAGTAACTGCACTTATAACACCACGGCAACACTCTTACAATAAAGGCTGGTCAGGAAATTTCCACTCAAGAGGGCAATGAAATTTTAAGTGGAAACCCACCCTTCCCTCCCACATACGCTGTCACCACCACCACCAACAAAATGATAAAATAATATTTTTAAAATAAATAAAAAGCTATAACTGCACTCCACATTTTGTTAAACCTATCTGTGAAACAGAAGGGGAACATAGTTTCAGAGGTCAGTGGGAGCATAAACCAAAGGACTACTGGCTCTAGGACCTATGGAAACCAGCAGAACCAGACAGACATTTAAATCCTGTGATGTCCCAAGTACCTATAATCCACCAGGCATGGGGCAAGGCGCTAGAACCAGGCTCTCCATGTGGAACTGGGGGTTGGGAGAGGCTCTCCACACTAAATGGAAGCCCAAAGTCTATGACTGAGTTCCCCACTTGCCTGGGAAACTAGATGTGACATTCCTGCCCCTCCCATCCCCAGGATGTGATTTATCAGCAGGAATAAGACCTGGTTGTGAACCAAAGCATTTAGGTTGAGGCAAGAGCCAGAGAGGGAGTAGAAAAGAGAAAAAGAGAGAAGGAGGTTCCAACTCATCACAACCATAAGTACACACACAAAATCCTCCTTTATGAGAGAATTATAGAATTTCTAGAACACAAAGAAAACTAAGACAGCAAACTCAACAAATACAAAAATATTTAGAGCTTTGTAATACAGAATGAAAGTGAAATTGCCAACATCCAGGCCCCAAAAGAAGAAATAAATTGAGAGGAAGGGATACTTAAAGAAACAACAACTAATTCCTCAAAATTAAAGGAACTTCAGAGACCTCAATCCAAAGAACTCCAAGTGCCAAACAGGGGAATAAAAGAAATATTGCACAATGGAAAGACATTTCATACTCATGGATTGGAAGAACAAGTATTGTTAAAATGTCTACACTTATCCAAACCAATCTACAGATTCAATGCAATCCCTATCAAAATACCAACAGCATTTTTCACAGATCTAGAACAAACAATCCTAAAATTTGTATGGAACCACAAAAGACCCCAAATAGACAAAGCAGTCTTGAAAAAGAAAAGCAAAGCTGGAGGCATCACAATTCCAGACTCCAAGTTATATTACAAAGCTGTAATAATCAAAAAGTATGGTACTGGCACAGAAATAGGCACACAGATCAATGGAATAATATAGAAAACCCAGAAATAAACCCAGTTATATGGTCAATTAATCTTCAACAAAGCAGGAAAGACTATCCAAAGGGCAAAAGATAGTCTTTTCAACAAATGGTGCTGGAAAAATTAAACAGCAACATGCAAAAGAAAGAAACTGGACCACTTTCTTATACCATACACAAAAATAAATTCAAAATGGATTAAAGACCTAAATATGAGACCTGAAAACATAAAAATCCTAAAAGAAAACACAGGCAGTAACTTTTTTGACATTGGCCAAAGCAACTTTTTTCTAAGTATGTCTCCTGAGGCAAGGAAAGCAAAAGCAAATATAAATTATTGGGACTACATCAAAATAAAAACGTTCTGCACAGTCAAGGAAACAACAAAACTAAAAGGCACCCTGTGGAATGGGAGAAGATATTTGCAAATGACACATCCAATAAAGGGTTAGTATCCAAAATATATAAAGAACTTATAAAATTCAACACCCCAAAAACAAATAATCCAATTAAAAATGAGCGGAAAACATGAAACAGATATTTCTCCAAAGAAGAGAATCAGATGTCCAACAGACACAAAAAAAAAGATGTTCATCATCACTTATCATCAGGGAAATGCAAATCAAAAGTACAATGAGATATCACCTCACACCTATCAGAATGGCTAAAATCAACAACACAAAAAACAACAGGTGTTAGTGAGGATGTGGAGAAAGGGGAACCCTCCTGCACTGTTGGTGAGAATGCAAACTGGTGCAGCCACTGTGGAAAACAGTACGGAGTTTCCTCAAAAAATTAAAAATAGAACTACCCTATGATCCAGTAATCACACTATTTACCCAAAGAATACAAAAACACTAATTCAAAGAGATACATGCACCTCCATGTTTATAGTAACATTATTTACAATAGCCAAGATATGGAAGCAGCCCAAGTGTCCATCAACTGATGAATGGATAAGAGGTTTTTTATATATATATATATTTATTTATTTATTTATTTATTTATATTTATATATATGTGGAATATATATAGACTATATATAATATATATGGAATATATATAGACTATATATAGACTATATATATGAATATTATTCAGCCACAAAAAAAGAATATAAAAAGAATAAAATCTTGCCATTTGCAACAACATGGATGGAGCTAGACAGTATAATACTAAGTGAAAAAAACAGTCAGAGAAAGACAAATACCATATGATTTCACTCATATGTGGAATTTAAGAAACAAAACATATGAGCAAAGGTTAAAAAAAAGGGTGGGGGGAGACAAACCCAGAAACAAACTCTTAACTATAGCGAACAAACTGATGTTTACCAGAGAGGAGGGGTGGGGAGATGGATGAAATTGGTGATGGGGATTAAGGACCACACCTGTTATGATGAGCACTGGGTGACCTACGGGATTATTGAATCACTGTATTGTACACCTGAAAGTAAAATAACACTGTATGGTAACTGGAATTAAAATTAAAATTTAAAAATAATAAGAAAGAAAGAAAAGATTGCATATAAAATACATTATTGCAAAATTTGAGAATATCAAATACAAAGAAAAAAACAAAAAGCTTCCTGATATAAAAAGCAGATCATACGAAAAAAGAACCAGACTGACATCAAAGTTCTCAACAGCAACTCTGAATGCACAATGAAGTAATGTTTTTAAAGTATTAAAGAATTTTGAGCAAAGAATTATATATTCAAAATGCCAAACTGCCATTCAAATGTGAGACCATAATAAATGTATTATTAGACATAAAAATACACAAGGTTTGCCACACAAAGAACTACACTGATGAACACTCTTTTTTTTTTTCTGATGAACACTCTTAAAGAAAATAGTTAAGTGTTTATTTTTTTATTTTTTATTTTTTTTTAAGATTTTATTTATTTATTCATGAGAGACAGACAGAGAGAGGCAGAGGGAGAAGCAGGCTCCCAAGGAGCAGAGAGCCTGATGCGGGACTCGATCCCAGGACCCTGGGATCATGACCTGAGCTGAAGTAGTTAAGTGTTTAAATAAAAGAAATAATACCGGATGTTCAACAAACTTGATAATGTATACTGTTACCTTCTAAAAACTCTAGGACAAACGGTAAAAACATAATTAAAATGATCCAGAACTAAAATTCTGGAAAATATCAACATGGTAGGGGAGGGGAGCCCAGAGGCAGAGGAGAGTGCATTAAATTATTTGTCTTATTATAAGGGGTGGGGAGAGAAACACATATAATTAAGTTTAAGAAATCAAGAGATACATGAGATTATATATCCCAAAATAAGAGCAAACACCTTAGGAACAAAAACAATATTGAAAACAAAAGAACATTTGCTTTTTTGAAGAAAAAGCAAGCAAGAAAAAACATATCAAAGTTTATTAAATAAAAATTATAAAATGACAGAAGTCCTAACATAATGGTAAATACAATAACATAAGTGGATTAAACTGAACAGTTAAAAGGCAGTGACTTTCCAAATGTATTTTTTAAATCCTACAATATGTTGACTACAAAAAAAAGCTTAAAAAAAGGCTGAAAGTAAAAAAATAACAGATGTAGTAGGTAAATATTAAGATAATGATCTCAATAAAGTGAGAGACAAAAAGTCATTTTATATTGATAAAGGGACAAGATGATATAACAAGAAGATAAGCACCTAATGATACAGCCTCAAGCAACAAGTAGAACTGTAAGGAAAAACAGAAAAATCAACAATTGTAATTGGAGATTTTAACACACTCCTCTCAGATGCTATCAGGCAGGCCAAAAAAAAAAAAAAATAGAGATATCTGTAGTCAACAATACAAAAGTGATCTATTTCACACACACATTCTGCAATACATGGGATACATACTCTTTAAAAACACACAGAACAACAACAGCAAAGCAGAATCAGACCCATAAATACAGAGAACAAACCGGATGGTTGCCAGAAGGGAATAGGGTAAGAGGATGGGCAAAATGGGTGAAGGGGTATGGGGGGTTCAGGCTTCTGGTTATGGAATGAATAAATCATAGGGATGAAAGGTACAGCATGGAGAATATAGTCAATGATATTGTCATAACATAGTATGGTGACAGATGGTAGCTCCACTTGTAGTAAGCAGAGCCTAATGCAGAGACCTGTCGAATTACTAAGCTGTACACCGTGTGTCAATGACACTTTAACAAAAAAAGAAACACAGAATATTTTTGAAGCAAGATTAAGGTCTTAAATACCAAAGATTGACTATTATACATACTGTCTCCTCAGATCAAAATTGCAAACTATTTATAGCTTCATAAACAAAAGTACAGATTTTACAATTTTCATATGCTGGTAAACTAAATATGGTTAAAAAGAAAATCATAATGGAAATTTTAAAAGATTTAGAATTCAATGATAATAAAAACATTTCATAACAAAATTTGTGAAACACAGCAAAAAAAAAAAAAAGCCAAAGAGAACTTTATAGCTCTAAAATATTTATTGGAAAACAAAAAAAGGTTCAGAACATTTTTATGCCATATTTAAATAGACAATTTTCCAAAATACTGATAGTCAAATGAGAGTCATCATGGCTGTTTAAATGATCAAATTAAATTTAGTTACGGTAAACTCTCAATAAAACTAGAATTTACTGAAATACATTTGATGTATTTTTTTTATTTTAGTGCATGACTCAAGGGGAATTACTTGTATATTATAATTAATAAACAAGCTGTACCATAAGGTAAGAAGTTAATATTCTTAACTATTATTGTTAATATTTATTGGCATTAAGACTTTCTGGGGGGAAAAAAGTCTCCAAAATCACATTTTTTCCATGAGAAAATGTGAATTGACAAATAAAAACTCACCCTAGGTACAGAGAAATAGGTCTCAAGAC